GAAGCTGAGCTTCTTTCTTAAAATGGTTGTATGAAATAGATAGGTACTGATTCAGCTTCCTTCCGCCCTACCTTCTGAATTCCTAGAAATGTATTTTTCTAACCCCTGCGTCAGTGGTGTGGAAGGAGCTTGGGCAGTGAGTCATTTGAGGAAGAAGAAATCACATCGAAGGAAAATCCAGGTCAGTGACAACTCTTTCCTCTCTCCCTGCCTCATCCCCACATCCCTCAAATGCATCCTCGGCCCACACTCAGGCTTCACCCTCCATCCCCTGGACCACAGCTCCGCCTTCTTGCTCTTCTAACTCCAGGGATCCTCGCTACAGTCTGTCTACCACAGTGGCCTCGGGGGACCTTCCTCTACCCAGAGTAAGACCCTGTCTGAGTAAATAAAAGAAATTAATTTTTTTATTTTTTTTTTTTTGAGACAGAGTCTCACTATGTTGCCCTTGGTAGAGTGCTATGGCATCACAGCTCACAGCAACTTCAAACTCTTAGGCTCAAGTGATTCTCTTGCCTCTGCCTCCCAAGTAGCTGGGACTATAGGTGCCCTCCACAATGCTGGCTATTTGTTGTTGTTGTAATTGTCATTGTTGTTTGGCAGGCCCCGGCTGGGTTCAAACCCACCAGCTCCAGGTGTATGTGGTTGTCATCCTAGCAGCTGAGCTACAGAAGCCAAGCCAATAAAAGAAATTATTAACCCTTTTATTTTTGTACCTAATAATTTATCAAAGTAAATATTTCAAATTTTGCCAGACGTGGTCATCATGCCTGTAATCCTGGCACGTGGGGAGGCTGATGCAGGAGCATTACTTGAGCTCAGGAGTTTGAGATCAGCCTAAATAGAAATCGAAAATAGGCTCGGTGCCTGTGGCTCAAGTGGCTAAGGCGCCAGTCACATACACCTGAGCTGGCAGGTTCAAATCCAGCCCTGGACCACCAAACAACAATGATGGCTGCAACCAAAAAATAGCTGTGCATTGTGGCAGGTGCCTGTGGTCCTAGCTACTTGGGAGGCTGAGGCAGGAGACTTGCTTGAGCCCAGGAGTTGGAGGTTGTAAGCTGTGATGACATGGCACTCTACCCAAGGGCACAGCTTGAGGCTCTGTCCCAAAAAAAAAGAAATTGAAAATAGAAAACGAGGCAGCACCTGTGGCTCAGTGAGTAGGGCACCGGCCCCATATACTGAGGGTGGTAGGTTCAAACCCGGCCCCAGCCAAACTGCAACAAAAAAATAGCCGGGCATTGTGGCAGGCACCTGTAGTCCCAGCTACTCCAGAGGCTGAGGCAAGGGAAATGCCTAAGCCCAAGAGCTGGAAGTGGCTGTGAGCTGTGATGCCACAGCACTCTACCAAGGGTGACAAAGTGAGACTCGGTCTCCAAAAAAAAAAAGAAAGAAAGAAAGAAAGAAAGAAAGAAAGATAGAAAGAAAGAAAGAAAAAAAAAAATAGAAAATTAGCCAGGTATTATGAGGGGTGCCTACAGTCCCAGCTACTCAGGAGGCTGACACAAGAGGATCACTTGAACTCGGGAGTCTGAGGTTGCTATGAGCTATGGTGACATCATGGCACCCTACCGAGGTGACAGAGTAAAATTCTATCTTCAAAACAAAAAAGAGATATAAGAAAATAAAATTCTTTATTCTTTGGTTAGAAATCACTGCATCTACTTGTCAGTCTGGAGCTGTAGTAACTGTCTTGAGACCAAGAGGGGAACTGGCCTGAGAGAGGAAGGTAATGGTGTACGGTGGCAGCATGGGAAATCGGACATCACCGTGCCAATGAATTAACTAACCCCCTAGAAATTCAACTGCAGGACTTTATAAAATGTGAAAAACTTACCATATTTATGTTCTTGCTATTTTCACATCTTCTACAACCAATCATAAGCTTGACAATTTTTTTTTTTTTGAGACAGAGCCTCAAGCTGTTCCCCTGGGTAGAGTGCTGTGACATTACAGCTCACAGCAACCTCCAACTCCTGGGCTCAAGTGATTCTCCTGCCTCCGCCTCCCAAGTA